TCAAAAATACCTAAAAACGATTTTTTTTTTTTTATTAAATAGGGTGTGTTCTAGGAGGTAATATCAACAATTAAGAAAATATTGCCTACAAAAAATGTAGTTGAGTATCTCCAACCTCTGCCTTATTTAATCAATCGGTGGTTGATTGGTCTCCACAAAATTCCAAAGTTCTCTAATCTAACTGAACATTTTTCAATTGTTGTCATATTTTTCTGAATCTATGATGAATTTCTTATAAGACAGAAAACAATTTGTGGAAAATATTGTTTAATGAGGGAACCACAGCAGTCAAAATAAAGTAAACAAATAAAAAGCCACGACCATAGGGATTTATTAAAAGTTGTTTGATTTTATCAATTTTCAAATGGTATTCCCAACTTTGTGGAGCTAGTATAATTTTGACAAGATATTGAGGTTGAGAGATCTGAGAATCTGACCACGACACTCATATTTATCTCCTACAAGATAATTATTTTTTTAAACTATATAATTCTTCTTCATTCTTCCCATTCAAATGGTTAACCTTGAAACGAAAGGATAAAGTTGGCGGTACTCTTGAGGTACTGAAGGTTGCCGTACAGCTTGGCCATAAAATCAGTGGTTCAAACCATTTCTACTCCTATTGTTCCTCCGTTAGGATACATGTCTGGAGAAAATGTTAAGCTGTTTGCTTGTCTCTTCCATATTCACATAAAGGAGTTCGATTTTAAATTTTTGTAAAGATGTGAGTTAAGCCTGTTATATCCAGTTTAAAGTCGGAAAATTAAAACTTGTTCCTCCCTTGAAAGTGATTAGTATGGATTCTGAAATTTACAGTCTGGATGCTGATTGTTTCACTTCTGCTGAATCAATGCTTTATTTATCGTTTTAACTTCTTCAAGTCAAGGTATGGAGGTGATTTGGAACTGTCCTTTGCAAGTTTACCAGTTTATCATCATTTTAATTCATTTCACAATGCCCAGGGATCCACTGCAGGGTAACTTGTTCATAGTTAGATTAGAAGCATTCCAAGCAATTCAGTTATTGCTTGTGATTCCGCTTTCCACTTGGACTTAAGGCTCAAAAGAACCAAAGCTGCAACAAATAAAAAAAAACGATTTTTGATTTCAAAGGTCACTCTAGATCTATAGGAATTCTGGTTGTCTCTAGTATTGAATCTTGCTCAGCTCCAAAGTTGGACCCCGTGGCAATCACTTTCCCAAATACAATTGAAATACAATGCGGATACTTCTTTCTCCATTCAGAATATCATTTTCTGCTGAACCATCTGGATAAATTATGGTCCACATGTTTTTTTATATGGGTATTTCAAGTCAATTCTGATCAATTTTCTTTTTAATACCCAGTATCGATGAGAATATGGATGGTTCACATGGATTTGTCCAAAGTGGGGAGTCGTCTGCAGCCTTCTTCATTTCGGGCTGCATTTCTTTTAAATGAAGTTCAGCGTTTATTGCACGTATTTTGTGCAGGAAGCTTTGCATTTTGGTATAATCCTGTATCTTTTGGCCCATATGATTTTTCAGCAGATGGTTAGAAATACATTTTGCTTTTGAGCACAAATTCAGCATAATAATATCCTTTGTTATTTTTTTTTTCCTTCCCTCCCCTTCTTGCCTTTTTTAGGCTATTGGAGGTTTTCCTGGGCCAGAGGTTGAGGTCAAAGGATTAATGCCAGAGTTAAAAGACCCTGGCACCGGGATGTGAACTCATAATTATTTTATCTAATTATCTTCCATTGGGTTGCCCGGTAATACGGTGCTGTGCACATGCATTAGCCCGCTCGGCCTCCTCACCCCCTTAGTATCCCTTCTATCCTCCATTTTGAGAAGACCCATAAAGGACTCTATTTTATTTATCGGAGTAAATTTTAAAACTCCAGTAATTACTCTTAGGTCCTGATTTTGGACAACATAGATTTTTTGGAGTTTAGAGTTTGCAGCAACTGTCCAGCTGTTTATTCCATGCTCCAATGTTGTCCTGACATAAGCTGTATAAAGAGACTACAAATTATTTTTTACTTTTTTTTTGTGATTTCCTGATGAAGTCATATTTTCCTATAAATCATTTGCAATCTTACAGTAATTTTTTTTATACATTCCAAAAATGTTGAGATATGTTCAGCTACATTATAGGAATTTGGATTTTTATTGGAAAACTCTTTAAAACATCATTTCTCGACAACCGATTGGGATAAGAAGGTCCATTGCTTGTAGATACTCTTCCAACTGTTAAGCGGACCCTACACGATCAGTCATGAATGATAGTCACAAAACTGAAAAGGATTGCTTCAATCATTATGTCAATCACCGTTTTAGCTCTGTTGACATTGAGATAATAGGCAGTGTGAAGCAGGTGCATTGCCTATTAATAATGTGTTTCATTAAAAAAATTATTTGGCCATTATCCTTTATAACATTGGACATAAAGAGAAAAAATGGAGCTATAATGATTGCTCTCTAGTGCCCATAAAACGGTTAGACAAAAGTCAGAAAAATATAAACTCAACTATTTAAAAAAATTAAGGGAAAATATTGCATATATAATAAATGTAATGGGAAAAAAGGGAAAAAGAAATAATAAATACCATACACAATAGTTAAAGATAATGTTTCAATAAGTAAAATATGTATTTTGTCTCTTTTTTTCTAATTTATTTTGTCCACTTGATTATCTAAAAAATTTGATCATTTATAAAGAAATAAACCAAGGATATGAAAAACTATTTATTTCAAATGAAATTCAGAAATTTACATTAGTTGTAAGGCCTTGGTGAAATAATCTACCAGGTAGTAAGGTTAGTTTCCCCACCACTTTTACCTCAGTCTCCCCTCCACTTCTCGTGATTGAAGATTTGATTTCAGAATATTTGGAAATCAGCCAGTCCAGTCCATCATTACATCACTCTTAATCTTATATGATCAATCAAGATGTCAATCATTCCTCGGAATGTCATTCTTGCTGACTGTGTTGGGTCCGCTTTAAGAATCACTGAAAACTTGGCTCCTTACAATTACATAAAAATCTAATATGAGTCATTTCAAAATTTCAGTTGGATTTATGCATCAATTTTTTTGAAAAAATAATTAGAAAAACAGTGCGTTTTTGACTAGCAATCTTTATATATTTTTTAGGTTGTTAATGTCGGCATACTAGTCATTTAAAAAAATCTCTGATCAAAGCTCTACAAAACTCTGACCAGACCCATACTGACTTATGATTGTGAATGAATAATGTTAAAAAATGCAGATAAACAGAATATCGCTGTTTTTGAAAGAAGGATTTAGAAGGATTCCCTTTGGGAAAATGGCAATTGGAGAATAAGACACAGCCAAGAACTGTATGAAAATTATAAGAATCTCTCAGCAGTGAAATTTATACAGATCAGCTGGCTTTGTTGGGCTGGTCATGTGCAAAGGATGGCAGAAAATCATGAGCTATATTCTGGTTCGTAAAAGGAAGATAGGAAGACCTCGAATGAGATGATTGGACCAGGTTTTTTTTTTTTTTTTATCTACATCAACTGCAAGATAGAATTGATTCGGAAAAAAGACAATGCTGTGAATTTTTGGGATCTGAGGAGTGTTAAAAGCTGAGCAGGAGTTGTCGAAAAATACTTTGATTATGACCACTTCAAAAGAAGTACAATTTTTCTGGAAGGGCATCCACAAGTAGCCAGAGAGATAGAAAAAAAATGTGTAACGAGCGATGGCTCATACTTTGAATAAATCATTATTTACCTTTATCACATTTTAATTTTTTTTCTGAAAACTTAAAATTATTAACCCTCACTCTTGGTAATTAATAATTTTACTAAACAATGAGTGGAAAGTATGCTTATAAAGGTATAGATAATGAAAAAAAAAATTAATGCTTTCAGTTGTGATTTGACTCTACTATTGCCCACTGACATGGATATTAGTTTGTCAATTTGGGGGTTTGTAGGACATAAAACAGTAATGTCCATTGGTTTATTTGAACTTGTTTGTGCGGTTTATTGGTTATCCACCAATCCGAACCTGACAGTGCACTAAGTAAGGGGCCAGTCAGAGCCCAGAAGTCCTACACGTCAGATGGTTGTAGATGTTAGGGACATGATGATTGAACAGAGGATGTGGGTAAAAATCATGAAAGCCACCTTAAGTCCATTAGTACAACCCACTAATGTTTAAAATTATATTTATTTATTATCGCTATAGTCCTACAAGAATCAGCGCCTCTCTTATTATTAGCTCCACTCTTCTCGATCTTGGGAGAGCATTATCCACGGATTTTCATTATTTTCAGGATGTCCTCCGCCTCGTCTAGCCATCTAAGGCGGTGTCTTCTACCAGGTCAATCATCTAGCAGGTCGGGAATGGAATCCCTGAGCATATGTGCCACATGTCCCAACTATCTGATTTGGTTACTTCTTACCATTGAAACCAAATCCGTCCTTGCATAGATCTTTATTGGTGCGAATTCTCCATTTCCCAATCTCACACACCAGACCGTGTGCAGAGAACCCTTCTCTTTTCCAATTCGAGAAACTTACTTTCTTGTACACTGTGAGATTTGTCCTATGAGAGAGGGAGTTATAATTTAGCAATTTTTTCATGGCAAAACAGCAGTCATTCTTGCTTTCAGATCTTCTGTTAAATTATTACTTTCTGTAATTAGAGCACCTAAATATTTACAGTTAAATTACAATTACTTAAACATGGAAAAGTATAAATCCTCTCAGATCTTGGAAGCGAACATACTCTGTGGGACTCGCAGCGCCTCCATAGCCATCAGGGATCCTAGATCCCTCCTACAGCATCCCACGATCTGAGATAATTTTAGTGTTACATTTTTATACTAAGCTTATTTGCTTAAAAATATTATTATTGGATAATATATTGATAGTGAATAAATAAATTGATGGAAAAAGTTACTAAAATGTTGAAATGACCCATATTGCTTTGTGCTTTGTTAATTTATGTAATTTTTTTTTTCTTTAACTTTAAAATATTTTTCAGGATTCGTTTCGTACGACAATGCACACAGTGCACAGGTCGCCATTCAGAGCATGAACGGGTTTCAGATCGGCACAAAACGCCTCAAGGTGCAATTGAAAAGGTCAAAAGAAGCGTCTCGTCCTTACTAACCTCAACGAATTCATGAAGCCAAGTCTGTAACTGTATATTGCCTTTCTTACATAAAGTAAATATTTCACAAAGACTACATTTATAAGTCCGTTTAGGGCGGGCCCATTATTTAAAATATAAAAAATAACAAAAATTCCAAAAAAATATATATAAATAAAAAGAAAAATATATTTCTACAGATGAATCTATAAATGCCGATGGCAGATTGACTATATATATCTCTGTCAGTATAATATGATGTATAATTTATGTTAACTGTTTTATATGTTTTAATAGTTACCATAAAGTAACTCTATTTTTAAGACTGTTTTTTTGTTCTCCCCGGAGACGATACTTGGGGAATAATTGTGGGAAAAATGCTTTTGATGTATAACATTGTATAGTCTTTTAATGTCAGTCTAAATGTATTTTGGTATTTTAAAAAAAATCTTTAATATTGATGTCATATCAAAAAAAACAAAAAATAGTTCAATTACTGATAAAAAAACATGAATGTTTGTCTAAAAAATGTATATATATATGTCCTGAATTATAAATATATATATAGTAGAACAAGTTATAGGTAACATGTAATTATATGAGTGTTAAGCTCATTATATAAAATGAAAGCTTTGGGTGATATAAAGTTATGAATAGGGTTTTAAAAAATATATAAAATAAAATTTAAATTGGCTCTGGGTAGTAATTTTAAATTTAAATTACTGTTTTTTTTTGTGTGTTTTTTGGTTTCTTTTTTTGAATTTAACTTTTATAGTGTCAACTGCGAGGTACTTCTCTTTTAACCATTTTTTTATTTATTTTATATTTCGATTATTCTTTATCACATTTATTCTGTGATTGGTTTATATATATATATATATGTAAATGTACATATAAAATTTCTCATAAAAGGTAAATATGTAAATACTGTTTCAAATATTTAGATTTTTTACCTAGCTAAAAACTGCCTATTGTTGTTCAAGCGTAACGGCATTACATTTTGATCAAAAACCTGGACTGAGAAAAAAAAATGTTAGGAGAGTTTTTCTTAGAAAATCTTATAATAATGTGTTTTATATTAATTTCATAACACATCCCACTTAAACAAAAATTTATAATGAAGATACTATTTGTTTTATACCTTTGATAATTACTATATATTAAATGTATGGTGGTGTTAATCGGTAGTAAAATTTTTTTTTTTTTCATTTATTTGAGTAAGTTAATATAAAAAATCCTAGGTTAAAGGAAAGTACCGCATAAAATTTTAATTAGGACAATTATTTATATCTTATTTCATTCATTCCTTATTTTAAAAATATAATATAATAATGAAATTTATAGAAAATATATGAAATTCTACCCGAGTTGACTCAAACAAAATGTTGGAAATAGTTCCAGTGGTCTGGGATTTCAAAATGCCTTATATAGTTTGTTAAATAATAATATGTTGTGTTAAAACTGTGTGTTTTGAAATAAGAAACGATTAGTTAGGCTAGCAAATGTTTCGCACGTAACTGCTCACCACCATGCAAATTGTGTTTGTTAAGCGAAGCCGCGTTACCAAGCGGATTTTCCTGATAACTCTTCACATATAACTTTCCAAAAAATCTGACCAATTTCTACACTTTAAATAAAACACCCAGATTTAAATATATGTATAATTTGTTTTGCACTAGCAATGCTTGCTTGCATCGTTTATTATGAATATGAATCCTGCCATTTTTAACTCCAATTGATCAAAGGTTTTATGTGCCATATATAAAAAAAAAAAAAAATAAATGTTAAGAGCTACCAGGAATTGAATAATTTTTTTCATTGCCATTTTGGAATGTAATCAGGATTCATCTCATTATATTATCACTGTTTTAAAAATTCAAACAAATTTTAATTTAAAACGTTATTTCAACTCAAGGAATATTCTCGTTATATCTGACAACAATTTATATTGTTAGGCGTTCCTAATTAATGAGATGGATCATGAAAAACAAATATGGCTTTGACAAATTATGTAACATAAAAGTTTTAATTATATGTTTATTTTGAAGTATGGGGAAAAAATATATGATGAAAAAATATTTAAAAAAAAGGAGAAATTTTATAGTTTGTTTTCGTTGTTAATAATAAGGTTAGCTTTTTGTTTCTTTTCAGTGATTTATTAAAAATTAACTTTAATATTAGTGTGACGTGGAATCATGTAAATTATAAAGAATATTATTGTTTTCAGTGTTGTTTGGATATATATACATTATATATCTATTATATATAGTTTAGTATGTCTATTATTATATATATATATCTATATAAATGGATATGTTTGTTATTCCTATCTATGAAGTGAGTGACAATATAGACCAAAGACGTTATTATTGAAACCAAAGAGGTTTATTTTAATGTTTTCGTACAAATATGCTGGGACTATACGTAAATCTTAATAAATACATTATCGCAGTTTTCATTTGTTTATAACGAAATATTTTTATTTGTAGCTTGGAGATGGTGCAGAGCACCATGAAGAATGTTTTAATTTTCATCGTTTCCTAGTCATTATATTTCTTACGTATAGTCGCTGCATGAGGTTTTAGACTAGTTTGGTCTATTATTTTGTCACGTAATCTTGTCACTTCAGAGGCAATTTATTTTTTAAAGTAATACCAAATATATTAATTTTTAGTTAGTTACCATCTAAAGTTATTTTTTTCTAAGCTTAAGATGATGAAGGGTTATATTCATTCAGTCAAATTTGAAGTTATAAGTTCATTTGATTTGATTATTTTTTAAAAAATCACTTTCTCCCTTTTTTTTCTTGGCATAAGAAACTGTTATGTTTAATGAGAATAATTTTTGTTACAATGGTTCAAACAGGGATAATATTTCTTAAATTCATAGTTTGTAAAATAAAAACTTTGAGAAAAAAATTGTAAAAAGTTTGCCAAAAAAAAAAGATATGTGTTAGATTCACTCTTGATATGTGTCATTCAATCTATAATGTGTTCCTTGCCGTTTTACCTTTTACCTGAATAGTCATCGATGTGCTTGCGCATCAGCAGAGGACATCCCGGATAGCTCTAGTGAAGTTCTATTCACGTTGTATGTTTGTAATGTAGCTCTATGTTTTGTTAAAAGTTTCTATCAAAATGTACTTATAATTCAATTGAAAATTTCATTATAAAGATTTGTGAAATTTTTGATTATAATGTAACATCTTAGTAGTGTAATAAAGTACCTATTTTTGGGCATAACTTTTTTTTGTTATTTCATTTTACCTGATCTATCCCATCCTAATGTAATCCTTGTTTTTCAGAGTGCTTCAGGCTATGGGTTCCTGTCTTATTTACAGGTATTCTGAAATAGAATTCATTTACACTAACAGTAAGTTTCTATTTTTAAGCCTTGATATAGATATAATGCATCTTTTAGTTTCATTTCAGATTATTGTTATTACTTAAATTTACAATGGGGGTAATTGCACAAATTTTCTATTTTGATAGATAGATAGAAAAATAAACTTTATTCTATAGAGCACAAGGTCCCATAAGTATAACAAGAATTCTAACAATAGGCTAAAATCTCCCATTTTCAGCACTCTTAAGGAAACTTTAAAATGTGTTTGTTCCGTTTAAAATTGTGTGGGTACTTGGTTCAACACTTTCGGTTCTGTTAAATCAGTAAAGATATGTGGAACAGTATCTTTTATTTATTTTTTTATAGTAAAATGTAAAAATATCCGTAGGCATCAGATTTCATCACCATTTTTCTAATTTTTGGAACCCTGAAGTATATAGAAAAATACACTTTATTCTTGGAAAAGGTCCCCTAAGAATAACAATAATGAAGAAATAAAAAAAACACATATCTGGCAAAAAACTACATTAACAAGAATGCCAACAACATTAGGCTAAAATCCTCAGTTTTCAGCGTCCTTAAGGACACTTTAAAATGTGTTTGTCCTGTTTTCAATTGCCTGGGTACTTTGTTCAACACTTTCGGTTCTGTTAAATCGGTAAAAAAGATATATGGAACAGTCGGTCGAATTGAGCCGACAGAAATATAATTCTTTGAGATTATATTTAACTCAAAGAATGATAAATGCAATAGGCTAAAAATAATTAATATAAATCATTATAATTAAATACACCCAAATTAAATTAAAATTGTAATTTATGTTTACTAATAGAACCTGTACCACTACAACCCATGAAGGGTCTGGGGTTTAGTACTATTTAGGGAAAGCACTGTTTCTAGGTCAACGGTTGTGCAAGGAGGTGATTTGACCGAGATCACGCTCAACCGCCAGGTTTTCTCCTTAATCAATTATTTAATTAAGGGTACCAACTTTATAGAGGCTGGGTGTGCCCCAGGAGGGTCTCCCGACCCAGGGTTGCCCCACGGCCAATAATTTAAATTGTAATTTATGTTTACTAATAGATGTGACTATATTAACGAATTGGCAAAACTAATAAGGTAGGTATGACTTATAAGGACAGCCTTTATTACATATTGAACAAAAAAAAATTGAATAATTCAATTTTTCAGGCTGTCTTAAACTATCTTATTTCACAGTTGGGACACCAACAGTTCTCAATATCCGTTCCTGTCATTGTATTGACAATCAGCAGATGTGTTGTTGGCATTATAGGTATGAGGAAGGATAGTACCCAGCACTACCTCATCCTGGTCATTACTTTGATTTAGGCGAGGAGATCTCTCATCCTTTTAAGTCTCCTCCTCATGGGTATGTCAGTCGTAGCTATGTCATTTATAAGTGTGTTTGTGTTTCCATGTAGTTTGAGATGAAAACGAGAGTAGAGAGTACGTATGTGTTGGTTGTCGTAAGTCGTTATGTAAAGTTTTGTTGTTGACGTACCAGAGAGCTCCTGTTATAAGTCGTAAAATTTTGGATTGAAATTACTGTAGTTTTTGTAAGTGCGTCTTTTATGTCAAGGTGTATGTCCAGATGGGTTTGAGTAGGTAAAAAAGTGTATGTATTTAGTTTTTGTCGGACTTTCAATTTCGATTT